AACCTAGAAGGGATCCGGCCGCCTCCAACCGAATAGCGAGGGCCTCCGACCTATGAAGCGATTGCCTCCAACCTACTTGCGACGGCCTCCAACCTAGAAGCGATGGCCTCCAACCTAGAAGCGATGGCCTCCAACCTACTCGGGATGGCATCCAACCTAATAGCGATGGCCTCCAACCTACCTGCTGATGGCCTCTAACATGGCAATGGCCTCCAACCTAATAGCGATGGCCTCCAACCTACCTGCGATGGCCTCCAACCTATTGGCGACGGCCTCCAACCTACTTGCGATGGCCTCCAACCTACGTGCGATGGTCTCCACCCTAATAGCAATGGCCTCCAACCTAGAAGCGATGGCCTCCAACCTAATATCGATTGCCTCCAACCTACTTGCGATGGCCTCCAACCTAAAAGCGATGGCCTCCAAACTACATTGGGATGGCCTCCAACTTAGAAGCGGTGGCCTCCAACCTACTTGCGATGGCCTCCAACCTACTCTCGATGGCCTCCAACCTACTTGCGATGGCCTCCAACCCAATAGCGATGGCCTCCAACCTACTTGCGATGGCCTCCAACCTAGAAGCGACGGCCTCCAACCTAGAACTCCTTAACACGTTTTCCTTATCGATTTGGTTCGGTATTTCGGCCAACCGCGAAATTCACAGTTGGGCAATGTTTGTCAGAATGTGCGTCCCATGAATGTAAATGTTGAGCAGACCCCACCAGTGTTTCTGAAAAAGCATTCGAAGGGGCCCTCCTTCCTCGAGCCAAGACTTGTGACTTGGGGATCCTTCACTCACTCTTGTGCTTGACTTTTCTCCTGTGTTCCAAGACTAAAAGGCTTTGGAGAGCAATATTCGATCAATTTCTCCTGCACGGATCTTGTTTTTTTCTCAGCTTCACAGGTCACGGAGAGGCGCGTCAAATGCGTCCAAGACTTGAACTGGTTTGTTTTGCTTTGGAAGGAGAGGAAGGACGCAAGTTGTTCAAAGGGTGTGAACTTGAGATTATAGAATAGGAAATTGATGGTTTCTTTAATAAGCCTCCTGCGCCTTACTAACGGGCCCCTACCTCCTTTGATTCTTGTATTTTCTTTTTGATAGACTGATGCCAAGGCCGAGCCGTGCATCCTTGGAGGATTTTCTCAAAAGCCCGCGAAGGCATTGGCTTTGTCACGCTTCATCTCAGCAAAAACGTCCTTCATTCACAGAGTTTGCAGCTTTTGTCGAGGTCCGGACGGTCTGGCCGTGTCCGGGCCCACAGATCCAGACCCTGCAACATATTTAATATGCAACTAAAGATACTGTACGCATGGAACAGATATATAACTCAAGAAAGTCGAGGGGCCTGAAAAGGAGTCGTATGCACGTATGACCACGTGAGAGCATGTGAAGTCCTGCAGACTAGGTCTTTAAGTATAAATATATATATATATATATTGTTTGCAAGTGAGTGGAGTGGAAAAGACACCATATTTACCCCTGCGGATTGTTCCGCCGGCCCTTTTGGCTGAGGGGAGGGGGGGAGGGGGGGGAAGTTAGACTTGTCAAAAATCCGCGCCGTGGGTACAATTAGACTAAAAACAAAACTACTACTAGGATAGCATACAAACCAATCACCTAAAACACGCCGCGCCCAAGGGCCGGCGGATTGCAGAAGTTTTCATGCTTCAATTCCAAGAACGCAGAGGAGCGTTTTCGACGGCAGAAGTGTTCTCCGACATGTTCCGGCAATTGCTGCACCAAGGTCCGTTCTGTCAGACCCACTCAGAGACAGCCCATTGATGACAACACGTCAGTACCTGCAGAGGTCTGTGGGAGAAGCTGATCAGTCGGTCGTTTTTATGTACACACTTGGAACCCATTGCAGGAAAGCAGATGTTGATGATTTTGTATGGTTGAAGGATAGCGCTAGCTGAAGGTATTGCAAGTTCGGCGGTTGATTGTAGGTCTACCATGGCATGCTGCGGCTGGCTGATGAGGTTTGGTGGCACATGTTTCCAAATGATTGATTCATTTGCAGCAGACTTGTGAGAAACACCTTTGAATTGTCCTAAACAATGGACATTTGAAAACCAAGCAGACCCAGATTTAGCACAAAGTTCTTCCTCATCGTGTGACAGGCAAGGGCTCGGTCCACTCACCGCAGGGCCTTTGCAAAAGACTCTGGGGAGCCGTGCGCTCCACAGAAGTTAGCTGATTTCAGAAATGGGGTAATGTATGAAGAACATTTTTGCATACAGTATTTTTGTTATTCACGGTGTTAGAAATCAATAATGATAGATTCTCTGTCTCTGTGTCTCTGTCTCTGTTTGTCTCTGTCTTTGTTTGTCTCAGTCTGTCTGTCTCTGTCTGTCTCTCTCTTTCTATCGTACCACTCCGAATAATCCGAATATTTGTCTTCTTTCTCCTTTTCCTCTTCTCTTCTTCCTCTTCTCCTCTCTATCTTCTCCTCTTCCTCTTTCCTGTGCCTCTTCCTCTTCCTCTTCCTTCGTCCAGCGCAAAGCAGAACCACAAAATGCTGATAACGCAATGCAACTTGGACAGCATAGTTCGCACCAGGGGCCTTTGAAAATGGCTGCGGCGTCATCGGAACAGTAAACGCTGTGGCAAGCCAAAAACCATGATATTCACGCGCTTTTTTTGCATCGTCGGAACAAACGTTTTGAATTTCAAGAAGTCCAAAACTACAGTATTTACGAGGTTTATTGCATTCGGAACCAGAAACCATTGTGTTTACTTATGTTAATCCATTTCTGCTGCCGAAAATACCGGTATCTCCACAGCTTTGAACATGTTGTTAATGGTGGCTCGAGTGTGTCCCCACAAATGTCACGAACCGCAAAAGAAAAAGCAAGCGACCCTCCGGAAGCCAGCCGATGGGGTTAGTGGAGGTTAGTTTCTGCAAGCAAGATCAGTATTTACCCTCTAGCCAAAACTTGCAACTGATTCACGCCTAGCACAACTTGCATTTGTCTGTTTGCGTGTCTGTATGTACCTCTAACTCTATATGCATCTATCTATCTATCTATCTATCTATCTATGTAATTATGTATGTATGCATGTAGGTGTTCGTGCCAAACAAGAACCAACAAAAGAAATGCACCAGCCAATAATGCCTAAATACCAGGGCGGCATATGTCGCGCCAGCAATGAATGCCTCGCATACAGCCATGTAGAGCTATGTATTGCCAGCGCGGCTTATTGTAGCGAAGCAGTTGAGGTTGGCGGGATGGAACTGGTTTGGCGTGCATTTGCATGATTGTATTGAATCGCACTCATTCTATTCCAGTTTCATTGTTCAATCAATCCTTGCCAGATGGTCCCAGTAACCAATTTGTTTTATCAAGCAATGTGAGGGAGCAACCTGATTCATTCTGCGATGCAGCCTCCAGTCCATGGGCCCTTCCCTGCTGATTCGCCAACGCAACCTTGGCGACACCCAACAACATCAGACGTCCCTGGACTTAGTGGAGTAAACCTGTTTGGTTTCGCACAGGAGTAGGTCAAGTGACCTGAACGGCATATTGTGAGCAAATTTAAAATTTCAGGTGGCCCTGACATGACTCAAAGCTTCAAGAATCAAGTTCAGCACAGGGCAGAAAGCGAGGCCAAGGGCAACGCACTTGGACAGTGAACCCTGTTAAACAGAGAATCGAACAACAGCGGAAGGCTTGCAGCCCTAGGCTCGGGCCAAAATACCAAAATGTCAAAACACTAACTCCGCCCAAGGTCTGCAGGCCAAGAAGTCCCAGAAATGCCAAGGCACCACCTTCTGGACCTTCTCACCCCCCAAACAGAAAATCTAACAGAGTTCGAAGCCAGCAGCCTGGCGCCTCAACTCGCCCATGTTCAAACACACTCCACTCCAAAGTCTCCCGCCAAACACTTGAACAGTGAGCTGTGCAAGAAGGCTCGACCCGATGTCTTCGGGTGCGTTTTCTTCATGTTGATGTCATCCGTTTGCGAGTTTCAAAGTCTTTCAATGTGTCAATGAGATACTTGGAGCACTTGGACGCTGCCAGACTCCGAGAGAGAGCGGAGGAGAGACTGAGAATCCGAGCGCTTTTCAGGAGTTGATGAGACAAAAAAAGGGGACGAAAGATTCAGATAAACTAGCAGCTTGCATCAATTGCCAGTGGCTGGTCTTGCCGTGTGTGTTCAGTGATCGAATCATTTGTTCCCCTGCCTTACAAGTGAGTTTCACTTTGTTTGGTGTCGGAAGGTGTTACTGTTACTATATAGTTCTTTATAATTCGTTTCAGACCAACATATTAATCTTAATCTCTCGAAAGATACTGTGAGAGCCTCTAGTACCATATCGGTTCTGGATGTCACAAAGTCTTGAATCTTGCAATGTGTGCTCGAGGCGCTTTGTTCAAATGCCGATTTTGACACTGGAGTACCCAACTAGAGTCAAGTCATTGACAGGACCCGTCCAAGACACCAACTGTGGAGGTTGGAACTGCTGACTTTGCTATGGAAGGAACAGGATGCATTGAGCATGGAGTGGTTGGAGCCGACACTGATTTTGACATTCGGATACTCTCAACTTACCACTTGAAGATATTGGTAGTTTTTAAATGGTGTTAAGATGTTCTTCGACTACAGTACAGATAGGCTCACTATGTAGAGTGTGAATGTATTGAACTGGTTCAAGATGAGGAGCGTGAATGCATAGACATGAAATGAGGACATGTATAAATAGTATTAAATAGTTATAAGTTATATAATATATATATATATATTTGTGTTTTGTTTGTTTAGATATTTACATGTTTATACACCAGATGCAGTCTATGTTACCTTGGTAGAGGCATTCTCTTGGTCATGCTACTCAATTCATATCCACCCACAGCATACTCAATGAGACTGCGGGTTGTTGCAGCTAGGCACCCACCATGTGGAGGAGGCCATCCTCGTGTGCCACAGAGGCTCAAGAAAGTTTGTTATAAAGATGTGCCGCCACACTTCGTCAAAGGAAAGGGACCAATTCTAGATTGAATCTGCGCACATCGTAGGAAGATCGGACAAGAGACGATAAGAGTCCACTCTTGAACCGAACCTGGAATATGTTCTATGGAAAACACAAAATGCTACACTTTGCTACACTGTCCACTGCATCATATTGCCAAATAGGTCATCGAAAGGGCCTGGCCACCGGAGTCCTCCGCAGCTGTGGTGGTGCCGGTTCAGGCAGCTCCAATTGTTGAAGTCTTCAAAAGTTGTTTCCAGTTGTGCTGTGTTTGTTCTTTTTTCGCTGAAGAATTTATGTGGCGACCTCTTCATTCCTGTTGGCGTTTTCACTCGCTCGTCTATTGCAGGTTATTTGATGCAACTCGTCATCAGGACCTATTGAGGACAGCCATCTTAGAAAGCAAAGGTTTCAATATGAGAGAGCTTTTCAACATTGAAGCAATGTCACCAGTGAATCCGTGAGGGCAGAACATCTTCCTTGCTGGCCTATTGCTATGAGATTTGCCAGCGCTTTGCACATTCGATGTGAGCCTTTAAGCAGCAGTCAGTCCAACCGTTCTCAGCAAAGAGGAGTGAAAGAATCATCCGTTGTGCCCTGACAGCCCGGCATGTTTATTTAACAACAGGCCCTCCTACCCCAGTCATTTGCTTGCATCAGCGTGCTCAATTCGTTAAGTTGCGCAACCCTGGCAGCATGCCAAGAGTTTGCAGCATCCAGTCTGCCGCACTCAACTGTTGCGGCTTTGGCTGCCATTTAAGAGGGCTTCACGTAGATGCCTCTCGAGGGAATCAACTCACAAACCGAGTTGTTCACAACTGCTTCCGTGGTGCTACAGCAACTCGACTTGACAGGCACAACCCATGGACCTGTGCATACTCAAACACCTGCTCACATAAGGCAAAATGACACACATTGGTTCCCAACTGGCCCACTTGTGGGGTGGAAAGAGATTCTACCTGTGATCTGCCCTTGCTTGGCCGCATTGCAAGGGTCAGATGAGCCCTTGCACCCTTGATTGAATGGAAGTCAAAAGATTCTAAAGATTGACCACAGTCAGGTCGTGCTTTTGTTTTGGAGACTGGGGACTGACTGTGGAATGCCGGTCACAAGGACAGATCACGGGATATTGCCCGGAAGAATCTCGAAGTAAAGGCTTCGACTTCTTTCCCGGTGGCGAAGCGACGAAGCAGATGGTGTGGATTGGCAGAATTGTTTGGGACCAGTCCTGCAATGTGGAGTTGAGGCTTTTGAAGCGAAGCTGTGTAATTCTATGTAATTATACAGTCGACGTGTTTTGGAGCACCAAAGTCACTTTTCACTAGACTTTCTGATCCCTTCGGAAGCCATGGAATCCAGTGAAATGCGGAGATGGACAGAATTGTGCATTTTTGCGCTGGCAATGCCAGCTGCTCCAAACTGTGAAATCAGTGAGTTCCACGCACAGGTAGCCAGGCGCGGGGCAAGAATCCGTTGACAACCGACTTTTATTTGTACTTTTTTAAAGATTGTGTCCGCTGTCTTCATTTGATACTTCAGTCAACTTGTATACAAAGCGTTTCGGAGCATTGTCGTTCAGCTGTGGTAGCTTCAACACATGCCCAGGGCCTTGCTCTCATGACGATTTGAAGAGTTTAAACAATCTTTCGTTGGAACAAAGCGGTAAACCGATGCAATTCAGCAGGAGAGTTTTTATTCTTCTCTAAGCTGGAGCGAATTGCGACTGTACAGACTGAGTTCCGAAGGGAAGGCCGGTGGAGCTGCGTCATGTCCAGATGGATTTCAGCCAAGCAGCGAATGGAGTTGGTGGTGTTCAAGACAGAGCGACTCAAAGGACAAAGTGGACCCTGAGGAAGCATTTCTGATGTCTTTCAATTGGAGTCCATGAACAAGTTGGGACCAGAACGGCTCCATTGCTGTTTAAGCAGCTCAGTTTGCTGCCTAAGCAATGCCGACGTCAACTGGGCATCGATTCCGGCAGCAAACCTGCTGTGTCCGAAGCCCGTTTCACGATTTTGTGGCCATTGCAAGCTTTGCACCATGTACGTTCTTTGCTTGTTCAGCACACTGAGATATATGAGGTTGCAGCTTATCACAATGAGCCATGCAAATGCTTTGCACAATGTGGAGGAATATAATTCTGATAAGAATGTGTTGTACCACGAGGGACACCCTGTCGTTTGTGCTTTTTCTATGCCATTGTCCTATGCAAGGCTTGCACAGATGGAGTGTTTTTCCTCTTCCACATTTGGAAGCACGCGCCATGCATGGCCAGGAGTTTGGTGGCCGTAGCATTCGCTGGACATAGCCGAATTGCTTAGCGATGAAGACTGCCCCAAGCCAAGGAACATTTCGTGTTGGCATTCATATTCTATTTACCTATTGTTACTACTAGCTTCTTGTTACTGGTAGTAAGGCCGGAGCCCCTAAGGCCCTAGTAGCGTCCTTGCTCCTAGTAGTATGGCCAGGAGCCCCTAGTAGCGAACATTGCTCCCATTCACTAGATCCAAGGTTGATATCAAATGTTGATGTGTTGCTGTGCACCGGACTGATCGTGTGTTCCAGAGAGTCAGAAGATGCGAATTTGATTCGGCGGACATGAATATCCCAAGCAGAAAAGGAGTGCTTCCCAAAGCTCTGCAAAATTCTGACAAATTGCAGTCCATGGACGCCAGAGCATCCAAAAGCTATGGAAGACTTTGGCACACAGCATAACTCAGCATAGCAGCCAAAAGGCCAAATTAAACCATCGTGTGGACTCAGCCATGTTCATGATGTTCATGTCAAGCGGTGGTCCATCCAAGTACTGCACATCACCTTGTAGTACACTTGCATTTGTGAATGGTATTTGGGCGCACAAAATAGAACAAAGATCCAACCATGATCCGCCCTGTTCCGCTGATTTAATGCTTGGTGAATGTCCACAGAAAGTCGCGGTTGGATGGCAGACACTACCAAGGAGGGATTTTTCTCGGCTTTTGGACTTGACTAGACTCTGATGACAATTTGTTTATTGCGGCGTTGCCCAATAAGTTATGTTGTCCTTTGGATAGAGGTATATAAAGTGAGATGCCCAAAGTTTTGATGGTTTCCATTGCAGGTTCGCAGCGTGCAATCCTGCTTACTTTGGAAAAGCAGCGCGAAGGCTCACATCAGAATGTGCCTCTCAATGCCTATCCAGACAAGTGAGTGTGGTTCAGGTTGTTCGCACTTTAACCTTTAACCAGAAGGCAAACAGTTGTTCTCAAGGTCACGGATTCAGAACATCCTGTGCAGAGCGCACGAATTTGCCTCAATGTTGAATTTGCATAACAGCTTATAACTATAACAGTACATAATGATCTATGTAAAATCCGCCCGCACAGCTGGAAAATTGTATGTGTTTGATAGTTTTTTGATTTTTTTTGAAATATGAATAAGAACTGATATCGTGCGCGTGATTGTCCGTATGGCTTCGGAGGTAAACGTTCGCGATGCCGGTTATGCAGCTCGGGGGAGACTGTGTTATTGACATCGTGGGTAACTTCGTCCGTGTGTCCTGCCCGACCGAGACAGACAGACAGACAGACAGACTGACAGACCGAGACAGACGCACGCTTTCCGTGCGGGCGGCTTCGAGCGCGAAGCGCTGTGATCATATATACATATATTATGTATATATATATGTGTGTGTGTGTGTGCACAGAACCTTTGCACATAATGAACTTGCATGCTGCACCTTGGAGTCACACATGCATTGAAACAGCTTTCCAATGTAGCCAGAGAAAAGGCCTTACTCTTCAGGCTTCAAGCTCTAAGAAAAACACAAGCATGCCAAGCGTTGAGATTGTATCTATCTTTGAATATCTTTGTGCAAAGCATTCATGGAAAGGCACCAGTAGCAGGCAGCTGTAGCTGGTGTTTTGGGGATATCTCCTGCTTTCCACAGGAGCCAATGCTTTGTCAAGCTCATGCTGGTTCCTGTCCCTTCGGTGATCATAAAAAGTACACTTTGCAGGCCTAAGGTCAATTCGAACCCACGTGTTCATCACGCTGTACTGCAAATTGTTTTAAATGCTGTGATACTGATGACATCTAAAGATGAGAAGATTATCCTTTCATTGCGACAGAAAATTTGAGGTGTTGACAAAGCACCTACTTCAAACATGCGGCTTGCAGAGATTGGAGAGGCTGGCTCTTCAGTCTGTTTTGCACCTACGACGGGTATACATTGAGGTACTTGAGGTACACAAGGATTCCTGACGAATGAATAGCATAATTTCTGAAGGAAGCAAGAGATTATAGTTATTTCTATATATGTATGTATAATGTTGGGCCTTCTCCCGGAACAAAATGAAAATATGGTGAGCAGTTGTACACTCTAGATCTCGCATGGCCCTATGCCAGCTGCGCTAGATATGCAGGATGCGCCTGCGAGCAGTGCGCGTAGAGATGGCCATCAGGCATGCCGGGATCAGGTTGCTCAGAATAAGTAGTTGCTAGTTTCGACAGGCTCGATAAAGTAGTGAAGATGCCATAAATTTCAATATGTTTTCAACACGGCGGAAGGCAACATAATAAAGCAGGATACAACATGTTTCTTAATTGCGTTACTTCTTTGCGCTTTGGAGGCCACAGTGCGATTCTTGGGGGTGCAATTGCCAGAAAGGCGATTGCAACGCCACACAGGAGCCTTCAAGATTTTGGGCTGTTTGACAAAAATAAGCCCAAGTAAAGTCTGAATGCTGTCTTCAAAAGTGTGACCACGCACGCATCATGCGCCCACACATGTGCACGCGCAACAGCGCCCACTACCAGCGAGAACCAGCAAACCTGCTCCGGAGCCCGCTCTGCAGTCTGCCAGCAAGTCAGCACAACAGCATGACCTGACGTCAGAACCTCAGCAAACATCTCAGCGTGACACCACACAAGCATATCAGCCGGACAACGCGAATCATGTCAGTGCATCGGCATGGCAAAGGGCTCCAGAACTTCCACCAGACCCTCATCCGGTCTGCAACCTCCTCCAGTTGTTCGGGAAATTGCTCCGCGTCAGGGGTGTGTGTCCAGGAAGCGCAAATTTGCCTGCAGCTTGCACTTTCGGGCTCTTGGGGCTGCAGATCCAGACTGCCTGACGCGTGTTCTAGCACAAGCGCAGGAGGTAAGCTTGGGCTGAAGAACTCACTTGCGGCGATTCCCCGACTTCAAACGCCAACCTTCTACGCCGCTTTGGTGAGCGCATAGAGCTTCCGTCGCTACAGGATGTGTCCATGTTCAGGAGCTGCAAGTTTGAAACGGGCGCGTGTGGGTGAGTTTGGCCGCGCGTCACGCCGAATGAGGAAGAGTGTGACACTGCTAGCGGTCCGGTGTAGGCGCCGGCTCACCTTGAGGCACGTTTTCTGGGCAGCAGCAGACGCGTTCCCTGCAGAAATGGCTGGTCTAGGCGGCTGGTTCTAGTCTTTCAATCGCTCTGAGCAACTTGCGTTGGTTTAGCGTTTGGAGTGGCTGTGTAGACGTGAGGGGCCCCGATCTCCAGTCTATCTGTGGCTTGGAAGGTTTAGCGCAGCTGATTTTCAGCCGGAAGCAATCCAGCGGAAAATCACAGCACTCCATCAAGCTTTCATGTCGATGGGCGGCAAGATGACGGAGGCCTTGCAAAGGGATTGGGCAGCCTCCCGTCCTTCGCCTCCCTCAACAGAAAGTGCCGAGCGGATCACGATCCAGAATGCTGATTCTCCAAGTTCCGGGAAAGCACCGTGACATCGACACCTACTTGCATGAAGGAACCTCTCGGGCGCTGAACTCCTTGAAGTGGATCACAGCACTAGGCCTCATGTTGGAGCTCTTGGAGGGCCGCGTTGAGGCAATGCAGC